TTACTCTTGGGTGCACTGAATAGGCCGAAGAGGACCCGAATCTGAAGCACAACCTCCTTTTCAAAAGCTCCACCACAACAACACAATGTATTTCTTCCATGCAGTCGCAGAGTAATGAGCTTCAACAATATTTGGGAACCCCTGAAATGTTACCAGTAGATCCACAACAGAGAGCCACATTGATCTCTTAGACAATTGGAGAGCCAGAAAATGTATTTTTCCGGTATTATCAAGACTTGCCTTGGATGTTTTCGCTGTTCCTTCTCCACCGTCTCATCCAACAAACATTTAGTGCAAGTGGAGAGAATTTTAAATGAAAGGAGGACTAAACTTTCACCACAAATGATTGAAGTCCTCAATGTCTTCGAGATTGGGAATGGTCGCGCCATCAAGGTCAATACGAGGTTGTCGACGATACTTTAATAGAATCATTTCAATTTTGTAATAGAGATAACGGATGAGGGAGGTCATAGTGAACCCCAAATTAGTTATTTTGTAAATTGTAACTTGTAAATTAATTTCAATTATTGCACTCTTTTTTCCTTACCAAGTTTTTGTCCTATTGGGTTTTTCTTGGTGAGGTTTTTAACGAGGCAAATTATTGTAATTTCTTATTTTATTTTTTAATAAATGAATAATTTATTATTCTTATATTACATTTTAATGTATTAAAATTGAATTATATTTGGAATGTTACAAAAAAAAATTAATTTAATTTAATTATTGATATTTGAAAAGAAATTAACAATTAACTAAAAACAATTACATTTATTCATTTATAATTGTTAATTATTCATTTGAAAGTTAATTAAACATTTAAACTTAAACAAATTTAAAAAAAAAAAAAAAAAAAAAGCGAGTTAACTAGGCCCAACCCGCGGCCTAACCCGGCGGGTTAAGGTTGGCGGTCCGGGTTGGGCCAGCCAATTCCCTAACATTGGCGGGCCTAACCCGACCTCCAATGTTATCGGGCGAGTCAGGACTGACCCGCCATTAACTGCAACCCATTGTGGGTCGGGCCGGGCCGGCGGGTTGCTTTTCCACCTCTACTCCCTGCCTCCAAAATGTCTTTTTTTCCAATTTGTTCCGATTCTTAAAAACTGACCGAAACAAGTGCGATGGAAATCTCTTGCACCATGCCTCATTCCAGCTAAAATGTCCCTTATTCTGTCAAAAACATCCCAACTCGACCTCACCGTCACCCTTGTAGGGAAGTAGGGTACCTTCTTACTTATAAGCTCCAACTCGTAGTCTCTACAGTTTACGGTCCGCACAATCTACACAATCGATATAAACAAAATGTCAGCAACAAAAATAAACCAAAATAACTAATAAAAAAAATATTAGCAACAAAAAATTACCACTGTAGTCGCTTAAGCGATTTCGGATCACTTAAGAGATCTTTACTCTGCCTCGTGCAAGATTGCTTAAGCGATCTGAAATCGCTTAAGCGACTAAGAGTAAACAGAATAATCTGCCCAGATCTAAGATCGCTTAAGCAATCATTTGTATTGCTTAAGCGATCATGAGTGCAATCATGAGTAAAAGAGATTAATCGCCAAATGATCGCTTAAGCGACAGTGCAAGCAATATTCCCAAAACAAATACATACCCTTTCTTTGCCAGCCTCCTCCTCGTCGCCTGAATCCTCAGACGACTCCTCCTGGCCTGAATTCTCGCCGGACTCCTCCTCTTGGCCTGGATTCTTGCCTGACTCCTCGTCTTCAGAACCGTGTGTCGATTCTTCCCTCTGTTCTTGTGCCGCCGTCATCTCCTCTGCCTGTGAACCACCTTCACTAATCGGATGATCCACCGAAGCAGCCATTGAACTGCTTACGCCACCGGAATCTAGGATTCGAAGTGGCGTTGGGTTTTCCTCCTCATTATGAGTGTCAGCCATGGTTTTGGATTGAATTTGGTGTCAAAGTTTGCAGTTTCGATCGGAAATGTGCACTGTATCGTTGGAAATCACACAGATTCTGTTTAGGGTTCAAGAAATCGATTTTAGGGTTCAAAAAATCGATCAGAAATTGCGACTATATCACCGAAAATCACGACTGTATTCTGTTTAGGGTTCAAGAAATTGATTTTAGGGTGCAAATTTGTAGGTTCGATCAGAAAAAATCGCAGTCTCCCTTTGGTTCAAGAAATCGCTTTTTGCCCTAATGAATTTCGATTAAGCAAGGTGAATAAGTGGGGCTTGTTTTGAGAAATTTCAAATTTTAAAAACTTTTATTATTTATATTTGGCCCACATATGTTTTAATCTTTTCATTTTAACCTATTTTACGTGTTTAATTAATTCTAACTATGCCACATCCTCTTCTCTAAATTTAAAAAAAAAATGAAAAACATTTTCAAAACCATTTTCTTAAATTGAAACTTGAGATGGCCAGACAGCAAAATTTTCTCTGATTTATATTACTTATGAATAAAGACATGATTTTTTTTCTTTTTTAATATAAAAAGACTGAGGTAGATGTAACCTTAAAAAACCGATTTTATTAAAATCTTTAATAAAATGTTGAAGAACAGATGATAACATCATTGCTGGTTATTTGATAACATGTAAAGTCATTAAATAAGAATTGAAGAATTATTATATTCTTTTTTTTGTTTTTTTTTTTTTAAGTGGATTGAAATGGCAGAGTTGACTTTAATTTACTTTGATTTTAAATGGTCATTTGTACTTTTTGTAGTTAGGATTCTGAAAAGAACTTTGAAGGTCGGAACTCTAGGAGAGTAAATTAGGATGGGCTGGTCCAGAAATTGACTACGCCTGGCTAGAATTTTGCTATTACCAAGCATGGCTTGATGGGCTGGGTTTACATAGTTTTAAAACGTTTTCATTTAGGATCTGAGCTCAAAAAAACACCTCTGTAATTCTCCATTTACATAAAATTTATTATATAATATAAAACTATAATGAAAGCAATCACAAATGACCTTTAAAAATGAGAGCAATGTAAAGTCAATGAAAAAAAGAGGATATATATATTCTTCATTTCTTATTTAATGATTGTATATGCTATCAAATAACTTGCAATGATGTTATCATCTATTTTTTAATATAAAAAGACTTTTAACATTGATCTACCTCAGTCTTTTAATATTAAAAAATAAAAATTATTTTAAAATTTATGTCTTAATTAATAAGTAATATAACATAGAGTAATGCTATACCTACACCATTTTTTTACACCATTTTGTAAACATCATGATGTGGCACATGCTACAATCACACAAATTCTATTATAATATTAAAAATTCAAAATAATTAAAAATTTGTGTGATTGTGATATATGTCACATCATAATATAATAAAAATTGTGTAAAAGAGTGATGTAAGTGTAGCATTACTCTATATAAGAGACTACACAATGACGCTATGATTTTATTAAATTTGTGTGGTTGTGACATATGTTAATAACTTTTGGTTAAAGTCACATTTAAATAACCTGCAAATTGGGACTAATAAAAAATGGTTGATAAAGACTTATCCACGATGACGCCATGCTTTATATTATAATATTAAAAATTCAAAATAAACATATATACATTTAACTCCAAAACCAAAGCAATCAGTTTCGATTTAATTTCTTAATTGTAAAGAATTGTCTCTAACATGAGAGGCTTAATTATATTTATTCATTTATTGTATTTATTATTGTTATTCATGTCATAGAAATTTAGTGAAGTTGGAAGGGAAGTTCAGTTGAAATAGAAGCTAGCAATTACGCAATGCCAACACAAGACTATGGCTAGCACCACCAAAATGGGGTTGACCATTTTAGAAAAACATAAAGCATGGCGTCATTGTGGATATGTCTTGGCTGCCGTGGCTGGAAACGTTAGGGGTTTTGTAGGGGAGGATTGGAGGAGTCAAATGGTGGTGACAAGGGTGATTTTGGGTGGAAAAATCGCCGGAAAAAGAGCGAAAAAGTTTACCGACGGTGGTCTGCTAACGTGCGCCGGAGGACTGTTACAGGCGGTGGTCTGCTAACGTGCGCCGCCCATGTAAAATGACCAATTTACCTCTTTACCGTTATATCAAACGTTCTTCCGTCACTTTAAGGGTGGGAATCTGGAATAAATGGAACCTGTGGTACTCACTTAAGATTTCGTCAAACCTTGGGTGGCAATATGTCGTTTACTCTTTATTTTTTATATTGAATTAATTAGCATAGTTGGCTCTATGGTTTTGTGAAAGGTTATATGTAACTTGTTGGTAAAGGAATTGTGAGTGCTTAGAAGAATTCAAGAATATTTTTATAATTGATATTTGGCTGAAACAAAGAGAAATAATTAGAAAAATAAGATTCAATAATCTTAAAAAGAGTGATTATTAGATGTACATACGAAGTGTTGGGTGATATGTTTTAATTGTTATATTATTCCTCTTCAACTAATGAGTTTTGGCTTCTAATTTCACTCGTTCAATCATTTTCATCATATTCCTTTATGGATATCAATTTTTTTTTTTTTTTATTTACAATTACAGTTTACAAAGAAATTAAACATTATCTTCATCTTGACAATTACTGTTTTTTTTTTCCTAATAAATCAGCTATATCTTTTTTATGGGAAACACCTATATGAATATATACATAGCATTAATTGTTCATGCATGTTTTTAATTTTTTTTTTAATTTTGTAGATTTTTTTTTTTTTTTTAATTTCATTTTGGCGTTGAATCCAATTACTATAAGTGAAGTTGAAATATTTGTCTGCTGTTGAATATTTTATCTTATATTATAGTACGGGCCAGATACGCCCGATTTGATGGTAGCCACCTAATGACTAGGAAGCGAGTTAGTAACTTTCCTGTGAACCGAGAAATTATTATTTAAAATAAAAAAAAAATTAAAGGATTGTGGCAGACATGAAACCTTGAAAGCCAAATTTATTATTATTATATTTTTATTGAGATCATTTTATAGTTATTTGTGTTTTTAACAAAAACATTACCCAAAAGGAAAAATAATTATAATAACAGCAAGATCAAATTTTATTTTCAACAATATGACAACTGATACAGCTTGGTGGAGTACAAATTCTGAAAGATCCTTTTTCTTGTTTCATTTCATTCATACAAAGAAAATTAGTTGGAGTAATTTCTCAGCCAGTGTTCTTCAAGAAAGGGCAGCTCAAAGCCACTTCCTCATTGCCACTATCCAATCGAGCACCTTTCATAAGACCTCCAAGCAAATCTCCGCGGTCTAAAAAGAACTCTACCTTCACAATCTTCATTTCTTCATCCATCTATTCCAACGCACAAATTAGGGAAATTGTGTTAGGAAATTTTACAACCAAAGAATATGTATTGTAAAGATAGTATAATTAATGTACCTGGAAAATGGCAATTCCAAAGAGTTCTACCAATTCCCCAGTGGGGGCATGGCCTTTGAAAGGACCCTCCTTGTAACCCCAGTGCCTGAACTTGTATATAATTTGTGGTGGACCTGAATAGACTTGGACAATCTCCAGAGCAAAACCTCTTGGAAATGCTGTTGTGAAGGCGACATGAGATGAATCAGCAGTTTCCTCAGCTGGATTGTAGCACCTGAACTCCTCTGGTAAGGAGGTTTGCATAAAGGAGTTGTACCCTCCTCCAAGCTTCCTTTTTTCTTCCAATGTTATTGCTTTTCTTCCTGCACAATACAAAAACCGAATGGTTACTCTTTGATGTTGAGAAGGTAGATTAAAACAGTTTGGAAATACTTACCATTGAGGCTGAAAGTGTAATTATTTGGATTAACTGTTTTGTAGTCTTCAAAATTTGATTTATGGAACATCTCCATTTCCCATGTCTTTACAATGTTTTGAACCTTCTCCTCAAGTGATCCAGGAGGCCATATCTTCCACCAACAAATTTGCAGAATCAGAAAAAAATAATAATAATAAAAAACTAGTGTATTAAATTGTGTATATTGACATAGGAAGAACCTTGGTTCTGCCTTCTTCGAAGAGCTTGTTGACAACATCGTAGTTAGGAGGAGCACCAAACCTCCATTTGGTATTTTTCACTGCTTCTGCATACAAGTAAGAGCGATACTTGTCTCCCTCAACACTTGAAGAAGATGCCATATTCTGAGTATGCAAGATCAATTATTGTTGAGTCTGAGTTTAATTTGTTTCGCAAAGGAGAGGTCAGTTACATAGATATATATGCAAAAATATCTGACACGGAAATAATATTTTAATGATGGCACTTCACAAGCAATACGATTGTAGTCCAATTACTTATTTATCGAGGTTTGAATTAGCATAAGTCCAGGGTGGCGGCCATGGACGCAGCTAAGGCTTTGTGTGAGGGGATTCAAAATTTAAGAATTTAACCTTCTAATTTCAAACTAATTTATTAAAATCAACAAAATTCTATAGTTTATGATCCTTGTCAATTAAAAAATCTAAAAAAATAAGACTTAAATCTTATAACGAGTGCTTTTCAAACAACTTCTACTAACTCAATAAAATTCAACTTATAAATCCATAAAAACTCATCAAATTCAACTCTAAATATCAAGCAGTTAACCAATATATTAAAATTAAATCAAACCCTCAAATCTCTACAACTTAGGGTTTCATTAATTCTTTAAACCCATTCAAAATTAACTCAACAACTAACCAAAATTTATCGAACCTAACTTAAAACAACAATTAATTAACACATACTTCAACATAAATAAAATTAAATCAAAACTACCTCAAAATCTAGGAATTTAATCTTTCAATTTCAAACCCGTTTAATAAACTCAATAAAAACTCATAATTCATAATCTTTCATAAATTAAGAAAACTAAAAGAAAAAAAATTTAAGCAAAAATAAATAAATAAACATTTTTTAGTAATCAAGAGAAAAAATGAAAAAAAGATTTAATTAATACAAATTTTGATGAGATTAATATGAATTTAAGTGGGGTAAAAATTATAAATTCTATAATATATAAAGGCTTTTTTTTTTTTTTTCCCAAAAATTGAGTAGGTGTGAGCGTGGCTAAGTGCCTGGTGGCGGCCGCCAGCCAATATAAATATATAATGTTGAGTTTCATTCAGCTTCACCGAAGGAAAAGGAAAATGATATGCATTTTGTTTCTTTTTAGTTGGCCATTCATTGGGACCGGTAAACAATATGATTGCCCCTCTAAAATTGGGTTTTGTTACTCTCTAGTGCTCTCTATTATTTGGGGTAAGGGTTTCTGCAGATTGATGGTAAGGTATCTTGGAAAGGTCGCAGCCATTTTAACCCACAACGCCTTCAACACCATCAATTTCATATCAATTTTAATCACAGTTTATATAACATAGACAACTTGTTTAATACAGTACTCTGAAGTCCACAGAACCAAAATACGAACACACTTTTGGTACTGGAAAAATTAAAGCAGACGACATTAGTTAAACCAAACGAAATTATTCAATTTCTTTAGGAACATATAATATAATTCTAAAAACTTTTTAATTTGTTAAGCTGCAAAGGCTCCAATAGAATTCCCAATTAATGGGTTCACATTTCGCAAGGTTACCAGAGAAGCACACTGGTTTATGGTGGCATAATCACTCAAAAATGTGTAAATATTGATTCGATTCAAAGTTTGGGTACGATTATTCTGCAAGAAATTAGAGAACTTTGAAGTTAAAAAAGAAGGAACCATCAGAAACCAAAAAGTATCCCCAGAAGCAAAAATAGCTGTACGGTCCGCATCATGGTTTGATCTTCATAAAGAAGATCCCATCACTTGGCTTCCTTCTTTCTTTCAATTAGTTTGAAACTAACAACAAAACCATTCGGAAAAATCAAAAAAATCAAAAATAAAGAGGGAAAATCGAAGGGCTCAGATGTGAAATGGGTGTGAGATAGTTATCAGCACTTAGTCACTCAGAGTGGTGCATGACTGTCTCAAATAATTCATCACTGCCCACATTTTTATACATTAATAAAAACAATTAAAAACCTAAAGCGTTAAAAAGAGAGGAGACGAACTGATGAGATTCAAAATAAGAAGTAGAGGAAAGTATGTCTCTGTTTACATATTTATAGATAGGGGCGCCATTGGATGAAGGCTTAAAGAGACATGCCAAACCGCAAAACCCTAATACACTTTCCTCATTGTGGTGACATTTCTGCCCTCAATTGTTAATCTCGTATTCCCATTCTAACCTATGATTTTTTTTTTTCTCATATTTCATTTTACAAATTTCACAATATAGAATGATTATGATCTTTTTTATTTTAAATTATTTTTGTTAACTTATCCCATTAGAATAAAAATTAAACCAATAATATCTTTAATTATTGTTTCAGATAATAATACATTTATCAAACTAAAACCAATTGGCTTCATAAGTTTATATCATTTGTTTTAAATTATTTCACTTATTTTCATTTTAACTCATCCATTATCTTTACCATAAAAATTTATGTTATACACCTATTACTCCAAAAAAAATGTATCATTAAGGATGCATCCCCATTTCATATACATAGCCTCTATTTAGTTCACTATTTTGAGAGTTTTTATAATAGTCTTTTGAAAAAAAATTGAGTTGAGTAGTATTATAAGAAGTTTTTTTATATATTTTATAAGAGCATTTTTTGAAAATATTTAGGGTCTGTTTGTTTTCATATTTTTAATTATTATATTTATACTATTTCCAAAATACTAGTTTGTTTCCCTATTCTAAAAATACTATTATATTTTCTTCAACTATTTTTAAACCCCTTAAGTTTATTAATTTAACTAAACATCACTAAAAAAAAGTTTAAAAATTGACAAAAACACCCCCATCCACCCACATTTGCCAAATTTTGGCCACCACTGTCAGAAGGTGGCCAGAATCTGGTATAATGGTGCATTACCTACTGGATATGACCGGTAGTGCGCCGATCTATCATTTTCCGGCCAGATCCACCGTGGATCTGGCTGGAAAAGGCCAAATCCATAGCTGCCGTAGCTGGTCATCAACAACGACGATATCTTTGGCCATCATTGATGACTAGATCTGGCCGTATATTTGGCATTTTCTGGTGGATTTGGCTGGAAAATGTCATTTCAATGCATGACCAACCAGATCCAGCCAGTCGTGCGCAGATACAACGACTCCGGCCACCCTCTGGCGGTGGTGGCCGGCTGCCAGAATTTGATGGGTGAGTGGGAGTGTTTTGGTAATTTTTAATGTTTTTATTATAGGAGTGTTCAGTTATTTAACAAACCTAAGGGGTGTTTCTATTAATTTTTAAATCTTACCTCGTTATTCCCACCCAACTCTAAAAATATTAAAATAACTATCCAAAATACTAAAAAAACACACTTGGTTTTTTTAACCCCCTAGGTTTGTTAATTTAACTAAACACCCTTAACAAAAAAAAGTTTAAAAATTGATAAAAACACCCCACCCACCTACATTTGCCAGATTCTGGCCACCACCACCGAAAGGTAGTTGAAATCTGGCGTAATAGAGCACTATTGACTGGATCCGGCTAATAGTGCACCTATCTAGCCTTTTTCAATCAGATTCACTATGGATATGACCGGAAAAGACCAAATCTGACCAGATCTTTTGGTCATCGTTAACGGCCAAGATATGATCATCGTCAACGGCCAAGATCTAGTGGCCGTAGATCTGACTTTTTCTGGCCAGGTCCATTGTGGATATAGCCGAAAAAAGCCAGATCGACACACTACCGACCATATCCAATCAGTAGTGCGTCATTATGGTAGATTCCGACCACCTTCTAGCAGTGGTGGCCAGAATCTGGCAAATGTAGATGGGTGAAGGTGTTTTTATCAATTTCTTAACTTTTATTATTAGAAATGTTTAGTTAAATTAACAAATCTAGAGGGTTAAAAATAATCTAAATATTAGAATAGTATTTTAATATTATTATTGTATTTTGAAGAGAATTTTGAATATTAAAACAAAGGTGTAATTAGATAGGATTGGATAGGATAAGGAAAAAAAGTGAACCAAAGGGCCCTTTAACTTCCTTAAAAGTTGATCGCTTGGCTCAAATTTTCAAGAAAATTCACAAAATTCTCGTTCTGCTCTTCAGAGCTTTATCACGTTGTTTTGCAAACCAGTTGCATATAACTTAATGAAACATTACGTAGATATTGGAATGACAAAAGTATTTAACTGTGGTAATACATCTCCTTTCTTCAATCCATTGAGGAAAGTAAATCGAATTCTTTTGAACCATCCACAACACGTCACAAGGAGAAAGGGAGAGCATAATTCCAGCTCCAACGAAAACAAATAAAAAAATAAAAACAGAACAATAATTTATACCGTCTTCCAGCACTCCAATAAGGCTCGCATTTGAGAAGTGCTTTCAGATAACAATACCATTCTCTACAACATAATGGCAACAATTATATTGCTAGAAAGAAGCAATCTATACACTTCAACAGAACATTTCATAACTGTGTTTTTCAGATACTGTAGATGAGAATCAGGAAAATAATAAAACTCACAAGCAAAGTGAAATTCATGCAAAAACTGCAATAGTTAGGTGTACCCATAACACCATACTGTTCACTATAGTTATTTTACAAAGAAAAGAAGAATAAAATGCATGTATATGTAAACAATCTAATTAATCTCCAAAAGAGGGGAAAAGAACAAGACATATTAAGACAAAAACTAAATAAGAAAGCTCTGTCAACCAAAGACCAACAAGACCGGACCAAGATATGAGCATTCACAGCTAACCTGAGAGGTCAAACTTCAAGCTCAATCGAGAAATAAAATGCATAGGAAGCAGAATATGAAAACCCATGGCGGCTCATGCCTTCCAACTGCAACATATTAAAAATATCTTAATTCTATTCATTCCAGCCAACAAATATAATCCCACCTCCCCGAACAAATTTTAAAGGGCATATCCAATGAATATAATTGAAAATTGCACATTTTCAATGTTAAAACTAACGAATAATTATCATCATGCACAAATGTTTGGTTTTACAATGACAATGTTATGATTGCAAATAAGTCCAATGTCATAATCTGTTTTCAAAATTTAAACTTCTGTAAAGTACCCTTTTTTGCAGCAAACCATATAAAATTCCATAAATGGCCGTATAATTGAGTCTTCTCTGTACATTTTCATGGTTAGAAAGCAGCAATTTTTGTTTCCCCAGGTTCTTTACCCTAGAAACAAGACATGATCAAAACTCCACAGCTTCCATCTTAAAAACGGGGAGGAGAGACATCGCAAAAGAAGAGGTGAGGAAAGAATTATTAAGAATTCAGATTTTCTGCGTATACTTACAAATGTAAGGCCTTGTCCAAAAATCGCATTAAGATTAGCAGCACCTTCTGAATTTAACTTGCAGAAAAAAAAAAAGGAAGAAAAAGTATATACATCAGCTGCCTGTTTTAGTTCTTGATGCTTTCGATTGGTAATGTGGTCTCTTTCCACTGGACATACCGCTGTCACTAACACTGCCTTCAAGAGCTTTATCATGAACTTCAGAAAATTCTCTCGTCCATGAATTTAAGGGGATAAGATAACTGTCATCCTTGGAGCTTCTCATTCGTTCTTCACGGAGTTTCACATTTTCAGATATCTGATGGAAGGTTTTATTAATTTTTGCCATTCCCCTTTCAACTGGTTCAACAACGTGTGAAACAGTGAACTTCATGTCATCAACTATCTAGAAGAACAAATAGAGAAAGTAAGTCAGAAAAGTAGTAGAAAAACAATGCCTACAACTAAAAGGGGAGGGGGGAAGGTTAAGAGTCCATATTTGGCAAAAAAAAAATCAACTGCAGTAACTAAATTTGTGGCATATTAACTATCTTACAATTTCACCACTACCAAGGACCACATCACGGACACTCTGTGGAAAATTCAAGCGCTTTTCTTTCTCATCATGTCGGGCAGTGCGCATTCTTGTAAATCTTTCACAATCTTGAACTTCCTCTGGATCTGGAGGTGTTCCTAAAGATGCATAGTCAGACATAACAGCTACCTTACGGACACATCTTTCTCCACGCTTGTAAGGTACTGCTGGAAAGACATAAAGATGCGCTATAGCTGCAACACCCATCTGTTCAACAAATTGATATAAGAACCTCCAACATATTGCCCGTTGAAGTTTCCTAAATTAAACGAATTTTAAATTACTAAGCACATAATGAAAAATGCCGATACAATTACTTACCTCAATGCAGATGATATAGTCTTGTATTCGTGTTTTCAATTCCTGAGCCAAAGACCCTCTGAAAGCTCCTATTGAGAAAAGAAATGCAACAGCAACACCTTGCCACCAAGTCAGGAATACAATAGATTTGAATGTCAGAAACTTGGCCAATGGTTTAATTGGTTCCAACTTGTCTTTAATGACAGAATAGAATTGTACAAGACAATACAAGGCCCAAGTCTGACTGAAATTAAGAACAACCGCCAAGTATGGATAACTGCAAGTAAATCAGATTTTCAGGTCATAAACACATGATAACAATGATGATAATTAACAATAGTATCTAGTGCTAATAGTGAATGATGTGGCAGTGCTATTCTGTTATATATCAAATTTCTGAATTAGCATATCGGCCAGCAACATAAAAGATATCAAATAGAAACACACCAATTTAAATACGAACAGCCATGCTATGAAAGAATTAAACATAGGCATGGTAAGAAAATATTATAGTCAAACAATGTTGCATTTAAGATGCTGAAAGAGTAAACAAGGACAACTCACCCATATCTCCACTCAAATTTCCCTTCTCCATAAACCCCAAAAGTTTGAAGAATCATGGCTAGCACTGCACAGATCATCTTCAGTATCATCTGGAAAACAAATGTTCAAGTAAGTGCTTAATGACCATGAAAGTTTAAAAGTTTAAAAAGACAGGTCCAATAGTTTCTATTAAATAGTTCAACACATACATATTGAACGATGCCAATTTTTACAGCATGATAGAACTCAGGACCAAGAGACCAGTTCTTTAGAAAGCAATTTAATGGGAAAGGATGTTCTACAACTCCATAGGCATATGAATCTTCCAAAAGAGGTGTGCTGGAAGTGATTATAGTCTGACTTTCCATGAACTCAATTGTACTTTCCTCCCCACCTTTAAGCAACATTATTTTTGTCAAATCAGAGGCAGAATTTTATAACATGCAGAAGACTATCACAAATTCATCAGAAAATAGATAAATAGAATAACATCGAAAGAGAGACATACTTAAGTAGGAAATAATGCAAGAAAATTTTTACAAAAACAAAAATAAAATAAAATAAAGAATAAAAAATAAATTAAACCATCTGCTGTGCAAAGTTTCTGTGTCTTGTTTGCCAGCAGAGGTAGTTACCATTTTGTATTATTTATTTTAGTTCTATAAACTGGTTAGTACATCACACATTTATAATTCAGAAAGGTTATATAAACCAAGCAATGCAACATTTTCATGCTACTCCCATTATACCTAAGCAGGCAATCAAATATCTCTCAAAACAGTACAATGCAAATGCTTCATAACAGTCTCGAATTACTTCGTAGTTGAATGCAGCATTTGAATCCAATAGTGACAAAAACTGCCCAAGAAAGAAAAAAAATTTAACCATTAGTCCACCAGAATTAATGTATATTGATAATAAATTGCATGACAATTCTACCATAATCCAATAATTTCCCCTAAAAGTTGACACCTTCATCATATCACATTCCATAAAGATATACACATTATTGATTAAAGACAAAACAATTCCTAATTGACTCAACAAATGGAAGCATTTGCACAGCAATATTTTAGTAGGGACATGATGTCAACAAAGCAATGAGTTATTTATTTACACAATTGATAAAAGTACAGAAAACGATCCCGCACTAACACAACAAAATTAAAGTATTTGCAGACTAATATTTTTTGTATAGAACCTGTGATCACCAAAGCAATGTAGTATTCTGATAGGCCCCCTATTACTAAGGTTTATCAATACAAGGGGCACAAAGGGCAGGAGGGTGTGACGAGTGTGAATAAACACTAAAGGTTGTTACTAAAAGTTTGTTATGCCAGTGGGATACAGTTAGAGGAAATGCACGTGGCAGGATTGTGCGTGGAGGGAATATGGGAACAGGTCACTAGTATATTAAGGCAGTTAGAATCAGGAATAGGTAGATCATTTTTCTGTTTATCGTGTGTGTTCTTTGATTGTTGGGTGTGCTGTGTGTGTTTTTTGATTGAGTCTGCTGGGGTCCCATCATATTCACTTGAACACCCAAAGTGTACCTATAAAGATCATAAGTTGGAATATAGCAACATTGATGATTATCTATTTTTATCTAAAAATAACATATATCGGCACATAAATGGTTGACCATTTACTTCATATTGATTATCTGCATAAACAGCAACAAATAACAAAAGAATGTTTACAATTTCAACATACGATTAGGTAAACATGACTTGATTGAATATTGCAAGCTATAAAATCATTGTAGTAAGAAGGCAATTCCATAGAAATCAGTAGAATATAAATTAGCAAAAAGATGCAGGCACAATGCAGAACATTACAGTTATTTTTCATACCGATTCAAGAGCATACACTGGAACCATCAGAATGAGTCCAATCAAGAACTTCTGCTCCTGAAATTAAACATCATCATGAGCAATAAATTAATTGAAAAGCATAGATGCTATTAATATTAACTACTAAAGTTATATGATATTACACTAGGACATTTTTGTCAACAGAAGAAACAGGAGAGTACTACAAGGGAAAAAAAAAAAAAGCATATATAGAGCATAGCAGTAATCATATTATACAAAATGAAATTCAAAATTCAAGATAAGGAATATGAGCATGAACCTCGGGCTGATTGTAAGCAGCTAAATGTTCGAAGATAAGATACATGGAGAGTACAAGAGCAACAAGAACAAATATGCTTGCACTGAAAATTGGCCATTTGATGGCTACAGCTGACTCTGTCTCAGCACCCACAGTTGGCAACCACATTTTCCATGATCTACTTGATGACTCGGCCACAGTAAGAAGAAAGAATAAAGAATATAAAACACCTATCCATCCCATTGAGCAGATCCAAAAATTTGTCAATATTTCAATATGCTTGATCAAGGCTAGATACTACTTCATTTAAGACTTCATATTGCGAAAAAATGGGGGATTTTCCTCCCAAAATGCTCACACAATTAATGTTTTCTCTGTTGTTCAATTTTGTTTCTTCCTTCAAATCAATGTCAAGAAGAAAACTCCCCTCAAATTACAATACTTCAAAGGATAAAATTATATATATCTTGGCCTTCTTTTCTATTACAATAATATCGTCAAACTATTGTGAACTGCATATGCCCATGAAAGTTCTTTGAAGAAAAGAGTGATAGGTTGCTCCCAGAGACAGAGGCCTGTGATGAGAATAGACAAAGTGAACACAGAAGAATTATAGCAAGAACAATAGTGAATTGGCGAAAACCCTAGTATGTGTCCTAGATAGAAACTGGGACCAAAATCCCAACTATGTGGCGTTAAATGGAAACTTCTTTTCAACAATCTAACCTTTAGAATTTAAAAAAAAAAAAAAAACTAACTCCAAAATGTGCAAAGGAAAAAGAAAAAGGCTTTACCAGAGAAAGATTACTCATACATATAGGATGCAGACTTATCAATTTTGAAAGCATTTAATGACTTTGTACTTGAAGATTAGGCCATAATTATAACAATGCAGTTAAATATAGGAGCGCAGATTTATTAATTTCAAAAGCATTTTAAGATTTTGTTCTTAAAAGTTTAGCACAAAATTGGAACAATGTAGTTATCTTACCCTTATCCTGGAATGAATATAAAGAATATAATCCTGAAAATCATATTTATTGATTAGCTTAATCACTAGTTCTGCCAGATAAATCTACAATAATATTGTTTCAATTAAAACTTATGCGATCTTTAACTTAAAGCATAAAATTGGTATAAACAAAAATTAAACCAAGTGAAAGTTGAAGCACAGCTCAGTTTAAACACTGAGAAACAAGAAACTTTACTAAACTGAACTTGTGAAAGGCACTGGGCTTAATTGAGGTGCACTTCACTAATAATTAACAATAACACAGAATGTTCGATTTCCTCCGCAATCAAACATACAAAAACAAAACTAAAATCCATAGTAATCGCAAACACACAAAACATTAATAATCAGCACCTAAAACAAACAAAATCAAGCACCCAAAACCCTAACAAATCAATCAAACCACAAAACATTAAAACAAAATCAAACACAACAAAATAAATCGATCACTTCAGAGACATTAATTAACTGAAACGAAAACAATATCGTTTAGGCTCGTACCTGTGATTGAAATTTTCCCAGGAAAGTAGGTGCGAGATTTTCCGGGTAAATGAGGAAGGAAAATTTCTTCGTTTGGACGAAGACGAACGGAAAGTAAACTGTTTTTTGCTTGGGCGGTTGGCAAATTGGAATATACAAATTAGTAATTTCAATAGGTTTTGTCTCCTTATAAAATTGATAGACTGCTGTCACGGGAATTGTGAGATTCGTTTTGTCACAGACGAGATCTGACCGTTAACTTTACTTACGCTTTGTGTCGTACCTGATGAGCGTGTGACTGTTGTGTGATTTTGGCTTAGGTGAAGGGCTGTGGTAACGAAGTTTGTGACGGAGCTGTGTGTTTGTTTAATAACAGAGAAAAGAAAGTTTTCCACGTCAGTATGTGCACGTGGTATAATGAAAATCCTTTAGCTCCACGTCATGAGGAGACTGGTAGGCGTTGTTTTCTGTCTTTTTGTTGACGTATATGGTGCATTAGAATGGTAGGTTTTAAAGCTAATTTCAAATAATTAGACGGGGTTTACGTTGAAATTTATTCACGTTTTAATTAAAAAAACCACGAGGTCCAATGGTAAAAGCCCAAGAAAAAAGAGTTGGATCAAGTTGATCAAACGGGCCAAACCAAGCCCAAGATAAGGGAGGTTGGAAGTTCTCATAAATTAAAGCCCAAATCGAATTAAATATAATTTTTGCAATTCATGGGAAGCTCATCTTACACAATGTCTCTCTGTTTTAAACGTTTTTACGATATGTATAATTAAGGAAAAATCTCCCCAACTACCTTATGAATATTTCAACTTACTTCTAATTTCCACATAATTCATTCAAAAAATGTGTAATTGAAATATAAGTTTATAACAATTATAAAAATAATACTAGCCATGACTATGGCATTATAAAAATTTGTGGCATGTCATGTGCGTGAATCATAAAAGCTATTTTTTTATTTAATTATTAATTAAATTAACATTACTAAATTGTAATGCTAAATATTACTCCCTCTGTTTCACAATAAAAGACATTTTAAGGCTATTATCTTTTTCCAAAATAAATGACATTTGACCAAAAAGAGATGGAAGTCAATAAGAGATGGAGTGGGAGAGAGACAATGATATAATATATAGATATTAAATTTAATAATACTTTCATATTTGTATATAGTAGGAAAACCCAAAATTTTTCACCTGCAATTTCAGAAGGAGCAGTCAGTAAGAGGAGAGAGAAATTTTTCTTATTAAAAAATGTGCATAACCTTAAAACGACTATTATTATGAAACGGAGAGAGTAATATATAATGTAACTATGTATATACAATAATATGCATATTTACCTACCCATGCTATTTTTAGTAAAATTGAAGTTTGGCTTATTATTTGATTTCTTTGTGAAATATAACCTCTAGAAGCGGGCTTTCAATCCTTTTTTAGGAGTATTGATGTGTGATTTTGACACCAACCAATCGCACGTGAGAAATGCTGAGCTGACTCAGAAGACACACGTGTATATGGGGGGTATTTGATTAAAGAGTAAAGAACAATGTTTAAAGTGGTTCGGATGCTTAAATAAGCGAATCCTACGTCCACTGGTATTGTATTAATATATGAGATCAGGTCACGTTCAGCGAGCTGATTTATAGCTTAGAGAATACAAGTGAATACAAGAGAGAGAGAGAGAGAGAGAGAGAATGTATGCTATTTCAGAGACAAATTAGCTAATCCCACAAACGGAAGAGGAGTCCTCTACTTATAGTGGGATGAATTGAGGTAATGATTACTGAATCTGTGAGTGGGTTAGATTGTCATGCAAATCCTTCTTTATGTCCCGTTGCTCATCTGCTTGAGTGATTTCCTCAACTTGTGTAAAGATTGGACACGTGGAACGATTCTAGCCTTTCGCCATTCTGGCGCATACCCATTGCACTGGCAGGAGCATGCCGCTCATGTCATCATGTGACGTGGCTGCGTCTGAACGGTTGCAGAACCTACCTAAGCTCTGACTACCCATGTTGACAAGGTTTGGCGTTAGCCCTACTTTTTCAGGCATAACAGAAGTCCCCTAGTTTTTAAGGTTTGAGGATCGAACCTTGAGAACTACACAATTATGCCTTGATTTGATGCATTGAATGGACACTGGTTGATTTGACCTTATTGCAAAGAAGCCACAGAAACATTCCTATGCAGGCGACCTGAAATGATCTTCTTTAAGGTCCGCGACCTATTCTAGATCTTACTCAGTACCATAACGATGATTCTGGTCTTCGACTGAAGTCCACAACCTGATTATACTTTGCGAATTTCTTGCTGAATTCTGGTCTTCGACCGAAGTCCACAACCTGATTATACTTTGTGAATTTCTTGTTGAAAGCAAAGTCACGTCGCTTCGCAACTGACATGCGACGAGGGCAAAGAGTCACTTCACTTCGCGACTGACAAAAAGAAGAGTGTTTAATGTAACGACCTCTTCAGATGTTATCCATTGCACTTTTGCAGTTGATACATTAAATGAAGCACCTTTTGCTCTGACAAACGTGTCATATGCGCAATAAGTTTCAACCATACACATTAAATGCGAGTCATGCTGAAACGACATTCCCTATCAGAGCATTAAATGTGGATGTGAGCGCATTTAATGTGGAGGAGGGAAACGAGCCGTCGCTTGAGTGTTTCAATGGAAAAGAATGACGATTTGGTTTTCTCGAAACTTGACAGTCACTCTTCTTCGCTGATTAGCGACACGTGGTCGCAATCAATGGTGAGAAGTGATTTCTGCTCAAATGTCGTTTGACTTCGGGAAAACCAAACGCCACTTCCTTCACTACAAAACCTCAGGCTCACCTCAGGTAATTGCACAATATTCACTTCTTCAGAGAATGCAAGAAACTTTTGTGAGCCTTGGTTTTCCGTATTTCAAACTGGTACGCGCTTGACACTCGGAGTAGGAGGTTCAATCTTCATACTTAAGAGGTAAGAATGTTTTTTCTGCCACTTTATTTCTTTTTTGTTTTCTGATGATAGCCATGCAATAACGATGATCGTTTGTTGGTGGTTGGCTGGAGAATAAGCTTTCTCCTAGGGTTTGAGCCATTGGGGGTGGCTCAAGGATTCTTTTAGGGTTTTTGGGAGGAAGCATTTATTTTTTCCTCCACGTCATCGTACGAAACAATATACGATGACTGAGTGATTCATGCGTGGCGCTTTTTTCAAACCGCAGAAGAATGGACCCTTTAACGACCAGGACAGATGAGGGAACCAGTTCGCCGGTGCAAGTTGCTCCAATGGGCCCCTCTCAGGAGATTCTGTCAGCAATCACTGCCGAGGAGATTCAGAAAGTGGTAGACCAATATGCCCTCAACGTAAAGGTCTTCTAGCATAGAACATACACAGCTCGGAATCCGCTAGAAAGAATGGTTACAATCTCCGAGAATATCTTTAAGAGCGGGGGGTTGATCTCTTTCTACCCTTTCGTTAGGTCGGTCCTAAAACACTTCGGGATCGCACCGCTACAGTTTACGCCGAATGAGTATATGATAGCCGTGGCTATATATATCGCATGCGACGAAAATGGTTTGGGCGAGCTAACTGCGCTAGAGCTCGGTTGCTCGTACATCCTGAAGAAGAGTAAGGACAAGAGTTCCTTCTATCTCTCAAAGCGACCTACAATCGAAATGGGAATACATAGCTACCCTAGCAATGTTGGGGCATACGAGACGAAGTTTTTCTTCTTTCGATATGATGGCATTTGCCAATTTCAGGAGCCGAGTAGGTTCTCTTTTCTTTGATTTTGCGAATTTCCTTTTAGTCTTCGCTAACGAGCTTTTGTTTCTTCACAGTTAACAAGACGACCAGGTTATCAGCTCTCGAGGATCCTGACAGAATCACTACTTTTGACTTTTTGCCCAAAGAGAGTCGCGACGCAAGACTGCTCGTGACAATCGAGAACTTGCGGAGATACGGTTTCTTCAATCCCGAGGTGACCTTAGAGAGCATACCGAGTGAGTACCATAACCTTAGCTTGTCCTTTTTTAACTTTGCATGCAGCGAACTGTTTTACTAACAATGTTCGCATGCAGCGACCATGCCTCCCAAAGTGCCCAAGTCACCGCGACCAAGGCAGTTCACCTTCCCCAGAGTAAATGTCATTGGACCGGTTGGAGTGGTTTCCAACGATCCTCCCTTCGGAGGGACACCAGCGGGTGCTCCGACTTGACTTGCAAGCGTTCCCCAGCCTTCGATTATTCACCCAAAGCATAAGACCATGGCCAAAAAGTCCAAGAAGCGAAAGCAACTTCAGGCTGAAGAGTAAGAGTCAGAGTTAGAGTCAGAGTCAGAGTCAGAGTTAGAGTCAGAGTCAGAGTCAGAGTCCGAGCTGGAGGGCCTGGGCATTCAGCCCGAGAGGTCGCAGCCTTACTAAGCGTTCCGCTCGGGAGGGCCTTCCAAGGGTGCGACCGACATTTCCATTACCCCAAAGGGGCCGCGAACAAGGCAGAGCAAGGCTGCGGATCCTGGGAGGAGACCTGGCAAGGAACCAGCGGGCGTGACACTACTTGCAATAGGCATGGACACGAGACGAAGTTTTTCTTCTTCCAATATGATGGCATTTGCCAATTTCAAGAGCCGAGTAGGTTCTCTTTTCTTTGATTTTGTGAATGTCCTTTTAGTCTTCGCTAATGAGCTTTTGTTTCTTCATAGTTAACAAGACGACCAGGTTATCGGCTCTCGAGGATTCTGACAGAATCACTACTTTTGACTTTTTGCCCAAAGAGAGTCGCGATGCAAGACTGCTCGTGACAACTGCGAACTTGCGGAGATACGGTTTCTTCAATCCCGAGGCGACCTTGGACACCATGCCGAGTGAGTACGATAACCTTAGCTTGTCCTTTTTTAACTTTGCATGCAGCAAACTATTTTACTAACAATGTTCGCATGCAGCGACCATGCCTCCCAAAGTGCCCAAGTCACCGCGACCAAGGCAGTTCACCTTCCCCAAAGTAAATGTCACCGGACCGACTAGAGTGGCTCCCAGCGGTCCCCCTGTCGGAGGGACACCAGCGGGTGCTCTGACTTGACCTGCAAGCGTTCCCCAACCTTCGACTATTCACCCGAAGCATAAGACCATGGCCAAAAAGTCCAAGAAGCGAAAACAACTT